CTCCCTACGCGTGCTTTCTTGTCCAGGAGGGAGCCTGGCCTGGGAGATGGGGGCCCTCCTGGACTGAGAAGTGGAGATGAGGGCCACAGAGTGTTCAGCTATGGCTTGCACACTGGTTGTGGTATCAGCCAGTTCCTGCACCCAAACGGACTGGAGTCACCCCGTTGGGGTCCCGGGCACCTAGCCCACCCTGCATGGAGCCTAGTGGGCCTCTGGACACAGATGACTCTTGAATGACGTTGGGTTTATAGCACTGGCTCCCACAGAGACCACTTTCACACCATTTGCCTCTTTCTAGATATGTCATCTCCAGGCCACGGGAATGCCACTTCCTGATTGCCTCCTGCCTCCCCAGTGCCTGCCCCACGTTCCCCAGCCTGCTGCTACCCTGGGTCCGCACAGGCTGGAGCTTCGAGCTTGAATACAGGTTAATTTCCACTAATGCGAAGCTCTCTCTAGAGGTGGAGAAGGTGGGGAGTCCTTGTCACCATCGCCGGGCAGTGGCAGTCCACCTGGTGGGCCTGCAATTTGTGGGATGGCCTCTGCATGTCTGCTCACACCACAGAGGGCTTCCTGCAGATCTAGTGGCCCCAGACTCCAATGCTGCTGACCCACCATCCAGGGATGGGATTCCCTAGTCTTCATTCCTCCAGCTCGTTCCGTGGTTTTGAGCCCTTGGTTCTCTGCAGCACGTACCTTCCTGCTTGAGATGCCCAGAGAGGCTCCTGCCTTCCTGAGAACACGCAGCCCAGTATCCAGTGTCAGAAGTCATTCAGGAAGCAGCTCCTCCAGCAGGAACAGAGTTCAGCAACAGCCTTGCTGTTGTGTTCCAGCTGGAGCTGAGCCCCTGAAACTCACGTTGAGCCCTAGCCCTCCTTCCAGACCAGCAGCCAAGGGTTGCCAGCGCCACCAGCGCGGGGAGAGCCTAGAACAGACCTCCCTCAGAGCCCAGGGAAGCCTGCTGCTGAAACCTGACCTCAGGCCTCTGGGCCCCACAGTGCCACAGGACACTTCTGTTTTCTGCACTGCCCTGTCCGTGGTTCTCTGTAGCTTGGCCAGCACAGGTAGGTGGTGGTCATCTTTGCCTGTGTGGCAAAACGCTCTCTGTCATGGCCCAGAACCGGTTCTGGAACGCCACGTTTAGGAGATCCAGAAGCAGCTCAAAGCAAATCACTGTGGAAGCAGGACTGTGAGGACTGCAGGTGGGCGCTGGCTCCCACGGGCACTGGAAAGACCGCAGTTCAGGAATGACATGGAGAGGGCTTTAAATCCTCGGGTCAAGGCAGAGTGAGAAGATGGGGAAACATGGGGCTGCAGGACCTTTGCATCTGAAGACCCTCCCCCAGGCTTCCCCCGAGGTGGCAGGGTTACAGGTACATTGAACTCTCAGCCTCCGGATGGCTCCTGTTGGAGCACAGTGGGAAAGGCTGGCTGGAGAGAGCCCAGTGTCCACCTCGAACCCTCCCCCAGTCATCCCACTAAGCCTTCCCAGCAGCAGAAGCAGCAGTGCCCTGTCTGGGCAGCCGCCCTCACTTGCTGACCATACCTCAAGTGGGAGCCCGTCACCCCTCCTCTCCTCCACTTAACTTGAGGGAGACCCAAGTGCATCCAGGGAGATGAGTGGCCATCTGCCACCCCCACAGACATCAAGGCTTTGCTGATTCCAGCTGGAGAATAGTGCAGAGGTGGACGCCCGGGAGCCACACCAGAGCCACCTGGCCAGGCTGGATTTGTGGATCGCATGCCTGCCCTGGATTCCGTGGGCTTGTTGGTGAGGAGCCTTCAGGCCAGGGATTGGTGGAGGGTCCTGGAATAGCAGCGGCTGAGAGGCCAGGGCTGGGCATGAGCGTGCGATGGGCCAGGCCACAGGGCTTTTGGTCTGCCCAGCGGGGGCAGGGGCTTCCTTTTCTGTTGTGTCCGGGGTGCTGGGGATGGGCCCAGCCTCAACCATGGGCACCTGCTCTACCGCCCGGCTCCCTCCTGGCCCTGCTCTTTGGCAACCTGCTCTGCCACCTGTGGCTGCTTCTTGCATCTGGCCGGGTACAGCACTGTGTACAGACAATGGAAATGCAGACTCCTCCAAGTCGCGCTCCCAGGAAAGTCCTCAGCTGCCTGGCGGAGTTCCTGGCCATCGCACCCGCTCTGGGTTCCGTGGCCCACTGGTGGTCTCCCCACGGGTGACCCTGGTTCTCACCCTTGGCGGCTCCCTGCCCTGTCCTGGACGGATTGTTCTCCCGGGTCCTGTTTCTTCCCCCCCTTCTCTGTCCCGGTTTGCCATTCCTGTCTTCGGGTTCTCATGTGCCCTTTTAATAGTTCAAGTCCTTTTCTGGTTAGAGGTCTTCCCGTCCTACTCTCTGTTCACATGACCACTGTGGCTTCTGCCAGCTGACCGGGACCGCACAAAACAGAAGTCTGGTCCCAGGATGCAGGTCTTCCGAGGTGGAATGGGCATTGCTTTGGATTTGACCTGGGGCTAGACTGCACTTCACTGCTGACCTTGACAATGGAAATGCCTGCCACTGGCCTGGGCCTATGGGAGTCACTGTTTCCTCCACCCTTGCCCCAGGCGGCAGGGATAACCATTCCCCCTGGGCAGATGCCACTGTGGCTCCACACCTTAGGCATGCACCACTCACACCCTCGCCAGCTTCCTGGCTTGAAAGTTGGGGCCTTGATAGAAAGATGACCCTGAACTCAAAGGGCAGTGCTGAATCTCAACGAAGGCTGACCTCCTGGTCTCCCAGGCCACTCACAGCCTCTCCCGTGGCCCTAGTAGCAGTGGCCCAAGGGACTGGCATCCCACATTTGCAAGTCCTCCAGGGGTTCCCATCTTCCTCAGTGGGCTCCACAGCCTGCAGTGAACCCTCAGAGCAGGGCCACTGGGACACTGCAGGAAACCACTCAGAGCAGGGCCACCTGGGACACTGCAGGAAACCACTCCCAGCAGGGCTGGGGTTCTTTTTCTGTAAGGACCAAATAGTCTACAGCTAAGGCTTTGCACAACACACGGATCTCTGTCCACTTCCTATCCTCCTCCTCTTCGTCCTTCCTCTGTCTTGGTGGTGGCAGGGTGTGTGTGTTTCTCAGCCCTTTCCAATGTGAACCATTCTTAGCTCACAGGCTGTACAAAACAAAGTAGGCTCCAGGCCAGACCTGGCTTACAGGGCGCAGTTGCCAAACCCCGGTTTACAGACTACAGGAATTCAAAGATTTTCAAATCTATGTTGGCAGAGACCTGGGGAGTTATGTGTGGAAGTGGATTCCAGGGTGTTAGACAGGAGGCTGAGACAGAGCCCAGATGGGGCTGGATTCCTGAGGCAGGTGTGCCCACTGCCCAACAGTGCACCCAGCCCCTAGACCCGCCCTTGGAGCCCACCACAGCCTGTTTTTTGGATTGACTGAAATTCGGACTCAACAGGGGACTCAGTGGGTGAGTGTGAGATGCTGGAGTGTCCCTGGCATTGTGAGGACCAGAGTACAGAGGTCCACAGAGAGACGACTGTTGAACTGGGTCCATCCAGTGTGACCTGCACACCCACACCCCCAACTATACAGGTCGAAGACACAACCTTTGCATGTGGCGGACACCACCTGGGACCCCACAAGTGACAGGAGGCCTCTCGCTCAGTTCTGGGCCTGCTGCCAAGCTCACCATGGGGATGGAGGGCCATTGTTGAGATGGGCTCTGGATGTCACAGGGATGATGTGACCGAGAGCTGCTGAAGCTGAGGTGGGCACGCCCTGTAGCGGGCAGCCAGCCTGGTACTCAGTGTCCTGGCCTGTAGGAACCCCAGCTACTCAGATGGTCCCTGGGAGCAAAAGAAGTGGGCAGTCCCCTAGAACACTGCTCACTCTGTGCACAGAGACAGTCTAAGCCTGGTGGCCAAAACCTGACTTAAGTCACCCTGTTTCCAGACATAAGTCACAAACCTGGAGCTCAGGATCTGGAGAGAACCCAGAAAGCATTGCTGCAGGTAAGTCCAGCTGGTCTCCAGGCCCCCCCCAGAAGGACCAGTATGGGAGAGTACTGTGACCCAGAGGAAGGAGGTGGGCATGCAGCTCTGGAATCACAAGAGGCTGCCTTTAAATGGTTGCTGATTCCAGGGGACACAGATGCCCCCATCAGAGAGGGGTTTACACCATCAGATGAGGTGTGGTCTTAACTCAAGTTTGACTCTTAATGGGGCCAGGGAGCCCACAGATCCTTGCAGTAGCTGGTGCCCATTTCTCAGTACTCTCTGGACTAAGCTCCACCACGAGCACAGTCCCCGTATTTCCTCTGGGGAAGTACACCTACCCCGGCAACGGGCAACGGGCAATGCCACGCCGGGGGAGGTGCCTCGGAGATTAGGGCCACGCCCTGGGGCAGGTGTCTATCACAACCCCATTTAACTAACCTGTGGGGTGGAGGCGAGAGGTCAGATGGTTTTAGAGAATCCCCGGGCTTAGTGCAAATGTAACAGGGCTGCAATATTCCCAGCAGCAGCTGTCCCTTACCCCCGGGAATGCTTCTGTCCCGAAGGGAGAAAGCCTTCCTCCAGGGGCACAGCCAGATTCCACCAAGAAGTTGGGACTGGCCACGCCACTGTGTCTGAGCACAGCGAGAACCCAGTAGGGGAGCAAAGGAACGGCCAGACCAAATAGCAGGGGCGCGGCTGCTGCGCAGCACTTGGACAAACACTTTCAGGTCCAGCACGTCAAATGGACATCACCAAGTGCAGCTTCTAGCGCTCAGAGCTCGCAGGGCAGTGATGCCGCGGGGAGTCTGCGTTAAGTGGACCCGCAGGTCCCTCTAAGTAGGAGGTTCTTCTTCGGTCCCGAGCGCACTACCGAGGCCGCGGGGCCTACGTTGGCCGGCTCCTCTCCGCGCGTCCAGCAGGCGGCGCGCGAGCGCGACCTCCGTCCCCGCGGCGGACCCGATGGGACGGGGTGGAACGCGCATGCGCGGGCGCTTTCTGTAGAGCGGGGCCCTGCGCGGCCGCCGTAGGAGCCGGGTACGGTGGCCGCTGGGCGGCGGCGGCTCGGCTGGGCTGCGGGCGCGGGGCCGCCATGGGCAATCTGTTCGGCCGCAAGAAGCAAAGCCGGGTCACCGAGCAGGACAGAGCCATCCTGGTGAGGCGCGGCGGGAGGGCTGGGCCGCGGCCGAGTGCCCAGCTCTCCAGCGGAGCGGAGTCGGGGACGGGGAGGGACCCGCGGGCCCCGGGGAGGGACGCGCAGCCACAGCGACCTGTTTCTGAGCCGAAGTCCGCCTCCAGAAGGCGCCCGGACGTGGCCGCTGGCTTCCCGACGCTCCCCTCTAAGTCTGCCTCGAAGTGGGCTCTGTTTGTACCGTGGAAACCCGGTCGGGGCCAGGCGGCTCTGACCCGGGCTTCTAGACCCCGGGGCATCCGCAGCGCCAGCAGCCGCCGGTCACTAACTGAGCTCAGCCCCGAAGCCGAAGCCCCGCCCGCCGCCCCCTGCCCCGCCCCCCCCCGCCCCGCCGCCCCCTGCCCTCCCTCCGCTCTCCAAGCAGAACCTTCGCGGGTTCAGACCTGCCCGCCCCTCGCGGTCCGAGGTGCTCGGTGCCCCAGAGCACAGTGCTGCCCCTGCCCTCTGCCCTGCCCCCAGCCAGCCTGCCTTCTGTGGGCTCCTCCACTCTCTCTGAGGCCGTGTGTCCCCTGCGGGCTGTGGGTGGTGGCCAGGAAGGCCTTGCAGGCGCAGGGCGGGCAGGCTGGGGTCGGGCTGCACAGTGGGCGCCTTCCCTCCTGGCCCTGCAGGGCCGGCCCTTGGTGAGCACCGGGAGGGAGGCAGTGTATACCGTGATTACTCCCTGAGCCTAAAGGCGAGCATCTGCCTGACTGGGTTCACTAGCAGGAACCATCCTGCAGGCCGCGTCCTGAGTGTGCGAACTACCCTGACGCTGCTCATCCCAGCACCACCATTTCCTCTTAGGAAATGACCTAAGGAGGGAAGAGAGACCAAGGGGCAGTGCCTGTGCCTCTGGGCAGCCAAGGTGGGGAAAGGAGTTTAGTTGATGGGCACATCGCCTGCTGGCAGCTTGTTTTCCATTCAGATGGACCGAAGTGAAAGGGGGAAGCTAAGCACACACTAAGAGGCAGGAGGGACGTCCCAAGTCTCCGCTGGGCTGTGAGTGCCGTGGGCTCAGGTGCCCTCAGCTGCCTGCTCCTTGTTGTATGTGAACCTTCCAGGGACTGACTGGTGGCTGCTTCCCAGCCTGGCCCTGAGCACACGTACTGCTCACAGCCCATCCTCCTGTGTCCTGGGCCAGGCTGTGGTGACTAGAGTGCGGTTCTCCTTGGTGCAGTGGACCTGGGAGGTAGCAGATGCCAGCAGCACCCCACATCATGAAATTGGAAGTGCTTCTGGGTGTTGCCACACATCCCTGGGAGATAGTCCTGCCCCACAGAGGTCGCTGTTTTAGAGGGTGGCCTACATCTGCGAGCTCCTTTGTGAGCCCCAGCCAGCATGGGCAGAGCTAGGCGGCCTGGCCAGGGCCTGGTCGTGTGGGCTGCCCGATACCAGGCCACTTTCTCTTGCAGCAACTGAAGCAGCAGCGGGACAAGCTGAGGCAGTACCAGAAGAGGGTCTCACAGCAGCTGGAGCGGGAGCGGGCCCTGGCCCGGCAGCTCCTGCGAGATGGCCGGAAGGAGTGAGTGGGTGGGGAGGGGAGGTGGCCTGCAGCTGGTGGGCAGGACCAGCTGGGGCCACAGCACTCACCCCGGCTTCCCTTGCAGACGTGCCAAGCTGCTGCTCAAGAAGAAGCGATACCGGGAGCAGCTCCTGGACAGGACAGAGAGCCAGATCAGCAGCCTGGAGACCATGGTAGGCATGCAGGACCCCTGCCCGGAGCCACACGGTCCTAGGGGCACTGTGCGTGCTCAGGGTTGGGGCTGAGCCACCCCTGGTAGTGTGCATGGCCCAAGCAGCAAGGTTCCACTCTGGGTAGCCTGAGCCACCGATTGAGCACTCAGACGTCCTTCACATGTCTTCTGGCACCTTCTCTGTCCTCTGTCTCCAATGGGCCATGGGAGGGGACAGGAAGGGGGAGTGCAGAAGTTGTCCGAATGCCCAGAAGCCCCTGGTCAGCAGGCTGTGGCCCTGAACCCTGCCCCTGGGTCAGGAGTACAGGCAGGCTGCTGACCTCCTGGGGCTGGTTCTTTTCAGGTCCAGAGCATCGAGTTCACCCAGATCGAGATGAAGGTGCTGGAGGGGCTGCAGGTGGGGAATGAGTGTCTGAACAAGATGCACCAGGTAGGTCCTTGCTGGGCGAGGCATGGAGGAGGGGTCCAGTAGAGCCAGCAGGGCTTCCTGCCCAGCACCTGGGCTGGGCCAGGGGTACCATCAGTGGCTGGCACAGGCACTCGGGGCCAGAAGGACCAAGGAGGGTGCTGCACAGTGCTGTGTGGGCTGGGTCTGTGGGTACTAGTGACCAGAGGTCTGGCTAGGGTAAAGAGCAGCGTGATGAGTAACCTCGAAGGTTTCCTAGGGGAAGCAAGCTCCCTCTTCGCCTCAGGAAGCCCAGCGCAGGCCCCCTTCCTCCTGCTCAGATGAGTGGGCCAGCAGGTGGGCTGTGGGAGAGCTGAGCTCCTGAGTGCCACTTGGTTGAGTGTGGTGCTGGTGGTATGCATGCCAGTTAAGCAGAGACGCCATTTTAACTCACCCCTGGCAATCAGATCACCCACCTAGAGAACGATGCCAGGGCAGGCTCGGGTGAGGGGGTCTAGACCCTGCAGCCCAAGGCCTCTGAAGTCAGGTCTGACAGCTCTGGCAGCCCAGGCCAGGGCCCTGCCTGAGCAGACTGGCCAGCAGACTGGTCAGGTGCCCCCTCGCCTGGTTTCACTTAAGCAGGGGCAGAGCACCAAGGTGTGGCCCTTGATGAAGGGGCTGTCGTCTGCCTCACTGACACGCTCCCAAACCTCGTGACCTCCAGGTGATGTCCATAGAGGAAGTGGAGAGGATCCTGGACGAGACCCAGGAGGCCGTGGAGTACCAGCGGGTAGGTGTTGCTTGGTACCGAGGCCTCCCCCACCTGCTGCCCATTGCTGTTGCCAGTTTGGAGGACGTTGGGGGCAAACCGCCCTTCTTCTCATGACGGCTGCTGCTGTCCAGGGGAGGCCTGGAGCCACAGGCTGTCTCCTGTCCCTGGGCCCCAACCTAACAGACCTAACTGCTATTCCTTCTTCTGCAGCAAATAGATGAGCTGTTAGCAGGAAGCTTCACCCAGGAGGATGAAGATGCCATCTTGGAGGAACTGAATGCTATCACTCAGGTACAGGACCCCAGGGCTGGGCACAATTGCTGGGTGATGAGACCCAGGGTCAGGCATGGTTGCCTAAGCAGTAAGACCCCAGTTACTGGGTTACAGGATGCAGTAGGCCTCCACCTGTGGCACTTGCAGCTGTCTTTTTGAGCACAGGGTTCTGGTCTTGCACCTGCTTTTCCTTCCTAAAGTGACTCAGGTCTGTGCCAAACAGAGGCCTTTCTCCATATTCTAGCAGCAGCTTGAAGAGACAGCATGGATGAGTGGTCTCCAGGGCTGACCCCCAGGACTGGCACAGGCAGTGACCTGTGTGTGGATAGGGCAGATGCCAGGCCTCCCAGCCATGGTGTGGGTCTCTCCCCTTGCCTGTGTCTGGGCTGCTGTGCAGGTTGGGCCCGGGGGGTCTGTTCTGCAGTCGCATCCTCCTCTGCCAGACATCTGTGCAGACTGCGCCATCTCTGTGGGCCCCTGCCTCAGTGTGCCAGGGCTTCCCTGTGCCCCAAGAGCTGCCTGCTGCCCCAGCCCTCCAGGGTCCATGACCTCCTGTCCACTGGGGCCTGAGAGCCTGGTGAACTGCATAGGAAAACAGGCCCCAAGGTAAAGAGGCCTCAGTTTGGGAGGTGGCCTCCCCCACAGACTGCCCTGGGGTGACGGCTCCCTGACACCCCCCAGCACTCACGCCACTGTCGTTCTCTGGACCCGTGGACACCAGCACAGCCTGGGTGTCCATATCTTTTCCATATCACACCCATGGTCCTGGCATGGCCTAGCCTTGGGAATTGGGGCCTCTAGGGACAGCCCAAGAGTTGGCCACTGTGCTCCACAGGACCCCAGGATCATTGTAGAAGCCACTGCTATAGTGGCTGTGTCCCTACCTGGGGTGGTTTGAATCTCCAGAGATGCCTGGAGCTGGGGGGCGTGCAGACTCAGGTCTGAGCAGGAGGGCTCTTGTCCTGCTTTAAATCCGACTGCAGTAGCTAGTTAAGTAGGTTTCCTTTCCTCGAAGACTGCTGGCCTTACAGCCTTACCCTTTGCTTTTTACAGGAACAAATAGAGCTACCGGAGGTTCCTTCAGAGCCCCTTCCTAAAACACTCCCAGGTACCTCCCTGCCTCATCCTTCTGAGCTTGTTGGGATGCAGGACGGCGCATCCTAGGAGGGAACAACACAACGCTCCCTTGGCCAGCGTTCCCAGTGCAGTGGGCAGGCCAATCTGCAGATGTGGCTGGCTGGGGGAAGCCAGGGCGGAGAGCCAGGCCCAGTCGCAGCCACGTCCAGATGCTAGAACTGGGAAGAGGCTCGTCAGCCACGCAGGCCTTGCCGGGGTGCAGGCCCTGCCGGGGTGCAGGCCCTGCCGGGGTGTTTGTGCAGCTGAGGGTGGCTCCCCTGTGGTGGCATCTGTCCCAGGTTCAGAGACCCCAGCAGGCCTGACTCTCTTGTCCTGGTCTTCCTGTTTCCTGATCCTCTGTGGCTCCAGGGGCCCTGCCCCTCACTGGAGCTGGTCTGGGGGCCATGCTCCCCTGCCCTGTGTGGGCCCACTGGCTTCCTGTTTGTACCTTGCCTCCCCTGGCTGGGCACACCTTCCCATAGTGGCCTTCTCTAGTGGCCTCTGACTTCGTCTTCTGGAAGCATCTGCCATGGTCTTTTCCATGTCACAGATGTGTCTGTTTCCTTCACAGAAAAAGACCCTGTCAAGGTCAGAGCCAGGCCCGCAGACCTGGTGGCAGCCTCGTAGCTCAGCCCCTCACAGGACTCGCGGGATTCTACAAGGATAAACCCACGCAGCTTGGGTGTGTGGTGGCCCTGGAGGGCTCCCAGGAGGCCGGCCGGCGTGGCCAGGCTGGCCAGCACAGAAGGTGCTGTCGGGCAGAACAGCAGCACACGCAGGCTCACGTGCTGGGACGGCTCCTGGGTGTCCCTTCACGGTTCAGTCTGATTGCACAGTGACGCTGCTGTTCTGCTCTCATTCTGGATTAAACAGCGACATGCAGACCCTTGGCCAGGCCCGGCTTCTGACGGGGTGGTTCCATGGTGGCAGAGGCCCAGGCCTGCCACCCGCCCCTGGTGCTGTTCAGCAGCCCTGGTGCCTGTGGGAAAGCGGACAGCGGGCCCCGACATGCCTCAGCTTCCCTGCGGGGTAGGGGCAGACACCCCAGAACCTCTTGGCACCTCTACTTGACAGCCTAGGCCAGCTTCTAGCCTCTGGGAGAGTTGGGCCGGGGGCTGTCGCTGCTAGATTGACTCCCGGAGCCCCAGCCGTGCCCCCACACAGTGGCTCTGCCTTGCTGAGAAGAGACATCCTGAAGGGGATGGTGAGACTCGCTGTAGCAGCCGTGGCGTGCTCCATGTGCCCGTGGCTGTCCTGGACAGTCCCAGCCACCAGCTGCCGGGACAGCAGGCCCAGCCTGAAGCCACTGCTCATGCAAGGCACCTGTTTCGCCATCAGACAGCCCGGCCGGGGTCTCACTGGCCCATGAACAGCACAAGAGCAGGGGCCACCAGGAATAGGGAGCTTCCTCATTAACCCCAAACTGGTTGCCCCCATATTAAAGTTGGCCCCTTCCTGGCCTGCTGCCTCGTGGACTTGGTGTGGTCAGCATCTTAGCATGGCCGGCTCTGGGGGAACCAGCCTAGCCCCAGCTCTGCAAGTAGCTCCTGCCCTTGACCGTAACTGAGGCATCCCTGACCAGCACAACTGGGCAAAGCCAAGGTCTGGGCTCTGTGTGGCCTGGGCCCCATGGTCACCTCTGGGCGGTTGCCCTCCTCAAGGTGGGGGGCAGCTTGGCCACACGGGCTGCTGAGTATGTGCTGTTACTCCGGTGGTTTTGTGAGGCTCCCAGGGCTGGTGGCTGGTGGCCAGGTGTCTGGGCTGCCCTGCTTCAGGCCTGAGATGGGTCCTCCTGAGTGAGGGCAGATGGTTTGGGGTCACAAAGCCCAGTTGGGGAGCCTGAGGCCCAGGGAAATGTAGGCAGGTCCTCTTCCTTGGATGGCCTCCACACCCTGCCGGGAGACACTGGTCCATGTTGCCAGGTCTCAGCTTCTCCAGAGTCAGGGGCAGCACTGAGCACAGGCTTGGTGGCAGCCAAGCCCCGCCTACTGAAGTGTGCACGTCCGCCAGCTCCTGCCATGGGAGCACGTGGTGGTCCTGAGGATGGTATCCTGGATGAGGCCTGTCCAGGCCCATGCCCCCGGCCCTCTGCTGCAGCAGGTCCAGGGAGCGACTCCCAGGCCTCGCCTTGAGCACAGCTCACCAGTGGGGAGGTTGCCCGTGTGTTTCCCAAAGCTCCTGCCTCTTGGCCTCCTCAAGGACCCTGGACTCTCTAGCCAGTGGGCATCTCTAAGGGAGGCCAGGCCCCGCGCAGCCCCAAGCATGCAGTTCTCTGACCCAAGCCAGGTGGGGCAACTGAGAAGAGGACGGGCCACATCCCCTTGTACTGCCCAGTAGGTTAAGCCTCAAGCATTAATCTTTTGAGTTTGCCCTTAAACCTCAAGAGCTGGCATCCCAGAATGACCTTAAGCTGATTCCTGCCCTCTGGCCTTGGCATGGCCTGGCTTGCAGCTCCCTGCCTGCGTGGGGCCAGCCGCGGGAGCCCAGTGACATCCAGAGCCCGACCCGAGTTCCTTTCAGTGTGGGACACAGGACCCAAAACAGTCATGAGCAAGATCAGGTGCAAAGCCTGCGGCAGGACTGGCCCTGTGGAGTGAGTGGGGACTTGGAAAGGAGGACAGGACCGATGGTTGCTTGCTGGGAGCAGGCCACGTGGCGGTGCCCATTGCTGGGTGGGTGTGGAGGGCAGGGGAGTGCAGGGTGGTGAGTTCAAGGGAGTTGGGGGATACCAAACTTCAGGGCACAGGCTGGGGCAGTGGGGAGGTTGCCCGTGTGTTTCCCAAAGTTCCTGTGGGCAGCCAGCCCTCGATCCATGCAGCCTGAGCTGTTGGTGTGTGAGATCCAGGGTGGCATCTCCACTCTTTCCGCCCCCAGGCTCATGTATTTTAAGTTGGGCCCCTACCTTGGAAGTGCGCAGACCAAGAAGCAGGGACCAGCGGTGGCCACTCTGGGCTGCTCTGACAACACTGGGCATTCCAGTTCTGTGAGGCCTCGTGCCGTCACCTGGTGGAAGAGAGCAGAGGGGCTGCACCCCTCCCCGGGAGGCTGGCGCCCCGCACCTAAGCACCTCTTAACAGTGTCAGGTGGCAGCTGAATGCCAACCCAAGTTCTGGAAGGGACAGCACTCAAACCAAAGGAGTAATGACGCGAGGGACACGGCCACATTGAGTGTGGCAGCCGTCACAGCCACTAGCTAAGTGCACACCCACTGCCCCCGAACCCCAGGAAACGGCAGGGGCAGCGGCAGCACCCAACCAGGGAATCTGGGTGGCGCCCGGCAGGGGCAGGCTGAGTGTCGTGCCTGACATCATGTAGCGCTGCACCGCCAGCCCTTTCTAAGTGATCACACGGGGAAACTGGATTTTTATTTGAACGGTTCCATGAATTTCAGCATGTGTGGGTCCTGGAACCTGTGCCCAGTCAGGACACAGGACATCCTGTCACTCCCAGATCCCCTTCCTGCTAGCCCTTCGGGCTTTCCCTTTCCCCACTCCTCACCCTAGTGACCACTTACCTGGTTTTTGAGAATGCTGCACAGTGAGAACTACATAGTGTGTCACCTTTGGACCCTGGCACCTGTCACTTCACAGAGCCTTTGCGAGGCACCAAGACTCCTTTTTCCACACTGGGTGACATTCCGTCGTGGATGAACCTTGTTTGTTGAGCTACTTCCAGGTTTTGCTAGTTTCGACCAGAGCTGCCCTGGGCGTGGTGGGCCCAGGTGTGTCTCCTCCGGAAGCCTGGGTTCCTGGACTGCCGTGGCTCACACCCAGCACTCTGTGGGTGGTTGCTTTGGCTGCCCTGGCTGTAGCCACCTCACCACTTCAACCTGTGCTGCCCTGAGGCCGGGCCTGGGCACCTGTCCCAGTCTGACCTGGACCTTGCTGGAAGGCTCAGCCCTGCGACGGGCCTGGGAGTTAGCACAGCGTGCAGCAGCTGAGCAGGAAGCCTACAGCCCCACCACCCTCCATCCCTCAGAGATGCCTCTGGAAGAGGGACCCCTGTCCCCAGTCTCAGGTGGGCATGGTGGAGTGCACTTGATGCCCCCACAGAACCTGGGGAGCCTCCGACAGGAAGGACAAGGTGGCAAGGGCGTCATCGTGGCGACAAGGGGGGAGGGATGCCAGCCCCTCCCCTCCCCTCCCGGGGGACAGCTGCAACCAGGCACACCCTTGCTTAGCACTCTTCAGGTCTGAGTGGGCCTGCCAGGTGGGCAAGGGAGGGGCTGTGGTCCCAGGACCTCAGGGATTGGGACAACCCTGAGGACTTAGGATAACCCTGAGCTGTCCGTGGTGTCCAGACCCCCCTGGAGGATGTGACCTCATGCTGGGCCTTTGAGGGTCCCCCAGGTGTCCTGCCACCCTAGGCATCCCAGGGACAGCCTTCCACACGCCTGTGCAGGGGCTGGCTGGCTTCTGGCAGGGCTGGAGGGGCAGGGGGCTCATGCAGAGGTCAGGTGTGAAGTGACCTCGGGGGAGGCCCGCTGGAGGCTGGTGCTCTGCGGCCCCGAGCTCGGTGGAGAAGCACGCCACCCTGTGGGTTGGCCCGTGGAAAAGGTGCGGACAGCAGCCCCCAAGACCTGTGCTCTTTAGCTGTCACCCCTGGCCAGGTCCTGTCCCTCTCCCAGCCCTGAGCAGCTGCTGGCCTTTCGCCGTGGAGCCCCACTGTGGGCTTGCTGTGGTGGAATGGCACGTCTGCCATGAGGCTGGCTGTGCACGTGGCACAGGTTCACCCGCATTGTCACAGGGTGCGGCTTCTGTCTGGTGGCGGAATGATTTCCACTTACAGGTGGAGCACTCTCTGTTCACTCCTTCATCCGTTTGGGTTGGTGCCATTTTTGTGGTGTGAATTGTGCTGATGTAGGCATCAGAGCATGCGTTTGGGGTACATGGGGCAGGGCTGCTGGGGAGGTCCGTCTTCTCGCCAGCACGGGGGCTGCCCGTCCCCGCCCCGCCAGCAGGAATGGGGCTGCGGCTGCTGCACCCCTCACCAAGCTGGTGCCTGTCCACCATTCCAGCGGGTGTGGGTTGGTGTGCCACGCGGCACAGATGTGCACCTTCCTGATGGACAGTGAGGGTGACCCCTTTTCATGTGCTGTGGCCCTCTGGAGTCTTCTTGGAGACGTGTCTATGCAGACTCTTTGCCCATTTTTAACTGGGTAAGTTGCCTGTTTGTTGAGTTCTAGGAATTCCTAATATGCTTGCCCATCGCGTGGGCTGCCTTTTTGCATTTATGATGGTGTCCTTAAGAGTTCAAAATGTTTCAATTTGGGGGCAGGGGATGTGGCTCAAGCGGTAGCGCGATCCCCTGGCATGCATGGGGCCCAGGTTCGATCCTCAGCACCGCATACAAAACAAAGATGTTGTGTCCGCCGAAAACTAAAAAATAAATATTAAAATTCTCTCTCTCTCTCTTTAAAAAAAAAATGTTTCAATTTGGGGGAAGCCAAGGAAATCTATTTTTTTTTCTTGTTGCTTTTGCTTTTGGTGTGATAGTTAAGAAACCTTGCATAATTCATTGTCATAAGATTTATGCCTGATTTCCTTTCAAGAGTTTCATGGTCTTATTTATTTCTGTTAGGTCCGTGGTCAACTGAGTGAGTTTTGTGTATGGTGTGCAGTTGGTGGGCCTTGTGTTGCTCTGGGCAGTGGCCCACTGTCCTGGCCGCTTGTTTAAAACTCAGTTCTCTCCCCATTAAGCTACTTTGGCATCCCTGTCAAAAATCAGTGGGTCACAAATATCAGTTCATTCCCAGACTCTCAGTTCTCTCCGCTGATCTACATGCCTGTCCTTTAGCTTAAAGACAGCTTTGTTATACCTGGGAGGCACAGGTTGAGAGAAGCTTTACAAATGAAACCTGGACTGTAACCATGAGCCACTGAAGGTAGTAGAAGTTGTGGTCTGAACTAACCAGGCTGACCCGCTGTGAAAACAAAACCCAACATTTTCCGGAGAAATTTTCTGGAGAGAATGACATAACGGATTCTCAAAATGTCCAATTTACAACCCCAAATTACTTGACGTACAAAGAATCATGAAAATGTGACTCATTTCCAAAGGAAAAGATGATCAACAGGGCTGGGGATGTGGCTCAAGCAGTAACGGGCTCGCCTGGCATGCGGGGGCGCTGGGTTCGATCCTCAGCACCACATAAAAATAAAATAAAGATGTTGTGTCCACCAAAAAATAAATATTAAAAAAAATATGATCAACAGACCCAACTCAGATGACCCAGGTGATGGAATTATCAGACAAAAACTTCAAAGCAGTTATCACAACCATGTCACATGTGGCTAAGGCCAACACACTTGAGGCAAATGGAAGAGCAGAACTTCTCCACTAAAGAGTGCGAGCAATGTAAGATAACAACACGGAAATCCTAAGCCAGTCCCAATGGCACAGTGATTTGAGTGGTAGAGGCAGGAGGATCACAAGTTTGAGGCCAGCCTCAGCAACTTAGTGAGAACTTGTTTGA